ACCATGAGCACCTTCCAGTATGGTTGAGCAAAAGCACGAATAAGATTGCAGATATCTCGCTCTTAGCCCATCCAGTTAAACTAAGCTAGTATGAATCATTCGTCTTCAGAGGTCTATCGTCTCAGTAGTAATCTTTCAGAGAGATCAGGCTCAGAGTCCTTGAGACTACGAAATTATCAAACACAAAGTTGTGACTATATTTTAAAGACAACAATAAATAATTGTAAAAACGACCTTGTGGAATTTCGCCTTTTATTAACTAATCAGAATGCAGTTAATATAAATGAATGATTGATTGTTGTAAACAGGTAAAAAGAATCCAAAAGATTAGGCTATTTTTAATATTTGTGAAGTGTCAAATTGAATTGAGAGGGCAAACCAATGAAAATCGAAATGACTTCAAGGTTGAGGATCAAATATTAAACTAATAAAATGATTATCGACGGTATTACTAATCATACTGAAACAACCCGTAAGGGGCCACTTATCAAAGATTAGGTTTTTGAGGAAGATGCTTATCTACGATTTTGGACTAGAAAGGGTTGTGTGGAGGAATGTAAAGAAATAGGTGGAGAAGTATAATTTTGTTACGTATATTAATTTAAGAATTCAGTCAGAATAGATTAGAATTCTTGTCCTCGAAGGTTAACGTAAGGAAAAAATCTCCGCTTCCAATAAACTGGGCCTGTCCGATCCATCTTTAATACAATGGTTTCAGTACTACGGATTCAATTTTACTATTCGCTATAGGAATATACATTTAAAACGTGAGAGCTTTGGGGAATCGTCTAATAAATTATTTACACTGAAAAGGCTGGTACAAAATGCTTGGGAGCCATAAAGATGGGTCTATCCATGAAATATCTTCGGAGCTTGGGACAGGAGAGAGTAGACAGATTGAAAAAATACATTTATCATGTAAATCATCATAGTAATTCCCTTCATTCCTTTATTAATACATAACACCTGCATTCAGACTGGTTGAAAGTTTTCCTCCTTATGGCTAAACTGAACAATACTCTCAACAGTTGATTTCCTTTGCAAATAAAATTTTCATAAACAGTAGGTGTTTCTTGTAAACTAGGTTCCATATCTCTCATTTACACTGTATGGTTGAACAATAGATATGTTTATTAATCTCAGGAATCTTAACAAATAAATTTCGGAAAGTTTCTTTCAGTGATTCATCAGGTGTGTTTTAAACTTCATAAGAGGAATCAACATTTTGGATCTCGTTGTTTCGTCTTTAAAGTATAATTTTACCAACATGTAGTTTAAAATCCCAGAGACCCACATGCTTAGTCCTATTTCCGAATTCGCTCATCGTCACGCCTAATCGGTATTCAGTTTATTAAGTTGTACAATACGCTTTATGTACATGTTGTAATGTTATTCTGTTAAATTACTGTGCCTGTTTCTAATATGTAGCCACATCAGTTTGTCGAAGTTCATTCTTCTCCATTTGACTCCGATATACGATGTCTCGTTAACTGAGTATTTTAGAATGTCGATTCTCATAGTCAGTCAGTCAAATACAACGTAGGACCAGGCACATATACGCATCAGTCCAAGCTGCCATACTTCATTAGTGCAACAAGATGAACACCTAATTCATAGAACTAGTTACTTCAGTGGTAGTACTATATAAAAAAGGTTGTGTATAAGGATATAATACAAGAAGAAAGAATTAGTTCGTAGAAAGAATGACAAAGCCATTTTAATCTCACGGCTTAAGGGAAGGCAAGGAGTGTATACACCTACGCCATTGTGATCGATTCTGAGTCATGTCACACAGAGACTCCAACCATTGGTTACAATAGTCACGCGGACCCCAACCAGGTAGTCTGCATCTACCAACATAACTCAGACTAGAAGTTAGTGACATCAGACACTGATGCTACGTTTTGGTTTGACCGCCCCGAACTCTCTCCCAACAATTCTCAATACTAATCAGCATAGCGCATCGTGGGGATCGGTGTTCAGGTATACATAACACGTGGCCAAACCATCTCAGACGATGAAGATTTACAACCTTATCAATTGATTTATCATCATTCCTTAATACCCAGCGTCTAACCTCACCATTACTAACCCGGTGATCCCAGCAGATGCGAGCAATATTTCTAAGACATCTGTAGTCAAATACTAGTAACTTACGAGTATCTTCTACTCTTAATGGCCATGTTTCACAGCCGTAATCTAGAACCGAGCGAACTACTGCGCAGTATACTCGTCCCTTAATTGATAGACAGATATCTCGTCTTCGCCATACGTGACGTGAGTTGGCAAAAGCCAAACGAGCTTTTTGAATTGGTGGAGAGGTCTCATCAGACATGAACCCATTAGGGTTGATCAGATTTAAAAGATAAGTGGAGTTGTCGATGAGTCCAACTACTTCACTGTCCATCCTTAGTTCACGTGTTGACTCAGGCTAGACCTGGAATAACTATTTACATTTAGAGGGGGAGAAACGCATCCCAAATATCCTGGCATTGTTACTCAGTGCTACTAAAAGACTCTGCATTTTGTCAGCGTCTTCACCAAACAGGACTATGTCATCTGCGTATTCTAAGTCGATTAGTGGACCCCCTGGTAGGAGATCAATTCCTGAAAATTCAGTCGGAGTGTTGTTTCCGGCAGTAGGTCTATGATGAAGTTAAACAGAAATGGAGATAGTGGACAACCCTGCCGGACACCACTTGACGTTGCAAAATCAGATGACAGTTCGCCATAAGCTCTCACTCGACTGGTAGTGTTCGAGTAAAGAGCCTTCACAAGCTTTATGTACTTATGCGGTACACTTTTCAATAATAGACACTGCCACAGGACCTCTCGGTCTACAGAGTCAAATGCTGCTTTAGGTCAAGGAGAACTATCATTGTCTGACGTCGATAGGCATGTATGTGTTCTAGAACCTGACGAATGGTGAATATGTAATCAATGCAGCCACGACGAGGTCTGAAGCCAGACTGATTCTCGTAGTTCTATGAATTTACTCGAGAATATTCAGAACGCTTGACGCTAGTTATTGGGATAGCGCATTGTCTGTAGTTAGCACAATCCACAAGCACGAGAAGTAAGTACGCTTAGGAGTTAGTGAGTAAAAAGTCGAAATATCTGTGTTTTATGTGTTAGTCCAATTGTCGGTAAACTGTTGATTGTCTGTATTTATAACCAATGGGAGGATAGATGCAGATTGAGGTGCATACACGTTTTCAATCAGACTCACACACACTTTTACAAAATGGATTAGTTGTTTAAATACAGAAATTAAATAATAAAAATTTAATGGGCCCACTATAATGCAGTTCCTAATAAACTGATTAGGATACTTTAGTCTCATCAACTAAGTAGCAAGGCTTTCAATCCATGCGCATTTCAGATCGGGTTGATTGACCCAGGTAACGACATCACGGTATTATTTGGTTTGGTGAATAATACTCTTACAATATCCCACCTACACTCATATATCAAAGAATAGACTAGAGACATTGGTATATTTAGCTTCACTTTTCATATCAGTGCAGATCTCCGACTCTTCTATATCACAGCGATTTCAATCGACCTGATATATTCACTTCATGCCATTTCATTACGAAAGGTACGTAATCGTTAATTAAACGTTTGATTTCACTTCATGGTGCTTTTTTTCGTTCTAATTATCAAGCATGCAGTTTTTTAAAGCAGATCTAAATTCAGTTGTACATTACATACCAGTCATTTATTATTTACAAAACAGTTAAAATTTCAAACACATGTACTGCATGTTTGATATTTGCCTTAAATTCTGCTTTTTGTTCTCATGCTTAACTTTAATTCATACGTCTTTAGAAATCAAAGAGAATTTTCCTAAAGGCAGAATATCCTCTGTTTGTGTTATTTACGCTTTATTATTTGCATGTTTCAAAATATTAGTCAAAATAATTTCTAACAGATGGAAAATAATCAGGTTTCTCTACATCGGATGATTTAAAAGTATTTTACCAACGAACAATACAGCTAAAATATTACCAATTATTTTAATTGAAATAGTTTTAAGACAGTAGAAAATCTATGTGTCCAATTTGTCCGTTGATAGTAGTAAACTCTTAAGCGGAATAAACAAGACTTAAGGCTTTAAATTAAAGGGTATTTCCGTCTGTTAAACTGACTGATAATCAAAATATATATGAATCGCGATTAAGACTTAAAACAGTTTGTCTATAATTAGAGAAGGATTCGACCATCTGAAAAATGAAATAATGTTCAGTAACAATTGCAAGGTAAGAAACGGATTCCAACAATTATCATTTTCATCGATTGTCCTAGACACATATGAAGAGATAAATTCTTATTCTACTATACTACGCTTCACGGGAACTATCAGAAAGCATTTTCACACCTTTTAATTCTGAATATTTGTAAAAGGCTTGAAAAATCGGATGTGAACAGTTATTCCTTACATAACTAATTCATTGATTTTGAGCAGTGAGTATTCTAATGGTTTAATGAATATTTTTTTACTTAAAATCAATTCGGAGTATCATTTTGACCAATTATTGATCATATATTACAGTCTTGAAATAACAGTCAAATATTTCCAAATATATTATTCAGTTTTGATTCATGAATCATGGTATTTATTGAGATTTGTAAACTGTTGAACGTTGTAGTGTTACAATTCGTTCGTTTCGCGAATGAAAATAATGAAGAAGTAGACGATAGCAAGTCTTGTTTTGTTGATATTCCCTAAATGGATTTAGGATAGGTGGGAAGCTACGTACTGTTTTGATTGTGTAAAGATACAAAGACGAGTTTGATGATACTAACATTCTAAACATTAATACAGTGGGCTGCTATTGTAGTGAAGCAGAACACAGATGAGGACAACCGACTATTTTTAATACGCAGAATTCATATTTCACATATATATTCGGCGATCAACAAAGATATTGTGGGAGTAAGACTAAGGGTAAACATTTGCGAATAAATATAAATAGTAGTTTATATATATATATATATATATATATATATATATATATTATTTACAAGTTGAATGCTTATAAAACATGCGTTTTGGTAAAATACTGTACATTTTGTGCTGAGAGTTGTTCACCGTAATCAACCACATAGCACTGAATAAAGGGAGCATTATCATCACGATTACTACAGAATAAGGCTATGGTTAATTATTTTTAACTAGAAGGATCTTACATTAGAAAACTATTTCAAAAAAGCAAACATTTTAGACAACAATTGTTATTATTGTATGTTGTGATTTAAATAACATAATTTTGCAACATTTTCAAAATAAACAATCAATTAAACCACCGAAATCTAAATGCAAATAGTAATGAGGACGAAGCGTCAAGCTAATAAACTAAGAAAAACTCGATTTAAAACCAAAATCTCTGGTGTGAATAGGCTGATAATATAAATATATAAATGGACAGTAACAAAAAATAAAAGGAAAAAAAGTAGTACTGATAAGAAAATGAAAACTAAAAATAAACGCTAATTAAGAGATTTAAGCAATAATAGAAATGCTAAAAAAATGATTAACCTAACAATAATTTATTGAACGAAAACATTTCAATGAGAAGATATCCATTTGCGTTTTCATTTTAGACAAAAATAATAATCAACATTAAAACACAACACCCATAATGAGATTGTCATCACATTTAATGATTCTGGCAATAATTCGTATATGTATATAAATATGAATGGATATTATCATATAGATTCCATTTTTGTATGCATATTGACCAACAAAAATAAGAGGTAAAATGTAATGGCTTTAAAATAAAACGATTTGTTTAATTGAATAAATATTGTATAATATAACTAATTATTACGATTTATTAAAAGTAATTGACAAAAAGGATACGTATCTTGTTTAAGATAATTGATTTTTAGCAAAGCATTATGATGATAATGATAACTACACAAATAAGAATTTGTTCTAAATTATCATTGATTGAAAAAGTATAAATAAAATTTGGAAGTAACAAATCAATTAAATTTTTCAAAGTGAAGCATTAGTTTTTAAGTTAGAATATAGCTTTTAAGGAGAAATGGTAGTATCGTAAAAAAACTATAATAATCCAAGTATACACAAGAAGCAAAACAAAAGAAAAAAGAAAAAGGAAATTGGAAAAATCAAACTAAACATTGAAATAATTTTCAAAGCTATATATTCATTTTTTTTTAAAAAGGAACAGATTAATTAATATAGATAAAGCAAATAATCTGATGATTGACCTATTGTAAATGTTCAATTAAAAGTGTAGAATTAACGAATTTCGTTGTTGTTTAAATTGGAAGTTTAGATAAGCGTCGATCAGCCGGAGCGTAAACTAAATGATGATTATTAAAAGAATAAGTAATGATAAAAGTTTTAATGTTAAGAAATTAGTAATTTGCTTGATGAATAATCTTTTCTTAAAAAAAAAGAATCACCATTGAGCATCAGTTTATCATTAGTATGAAAATTTTCTAACATTGATTTTCTCTTGTGGATAAATATTGTTGATTACATCTTCAACAATAAATTCAGGTTAATTCTAACATAACTAACAGATGAGTAAAATTTTTGTCTAATAAATAGTAACTCATAAGGGATTTAAATATAGTAAAGATATTAGAATAAGCCACAGCCTAAAAAGTGAACATTTACTTTTAGTCGAATAATGAATGACTAATGAATTGACTTCAATAACGCAACTGTAAGACGACTGACTATTTTAATTTTGAACAATATATTTGTGTCTAAACACTTTTAAACAATGTAAAGGTAGTACAAGACTATACACGTTAGTCTTTTACCGTACTTAAAAGAACACAAATCATGGGATTGTATCAACTAGCTATATTTATGAACATGTCGGTCATAGAACCAGTTCATAGAACGTCGCACGAATTCGCGTTGGTTCAAGATGTTATCCCAAAATAGTATGAGATGAAATTAACAGGATGAATAGCAAACAAAGAGGAATAATGCAGCAGCGATTATAATGGGGAAAACTGAATACTTAGGATATGGTATAGAAAGACAGGATGAAAGAGTAGTTTCAAAAGAAAATACTGGTATTTAAGATCGACAGGAAGATGAAGAGGTAATGCATTTGCTTGATTGTAGTCGTCTGTGGATCATGTCACACGACTTCTTCAATCATTAAACGCAATTATCTCGCGGATCGAAATCAGGTAGTCTAAATATACGAATATGGATCAGACTAACAGTCAGTTACTGCATGCCACGTTTTGGTTTAGTCATCCCTAGTTTTCTTTCAACGTACTCATATACCAGCTACCACTGCTAATCAAAGCATATCCCAACCACCTCAGTTGATGAAGATTCACAACGTCATCAACCAAATCACCATCTTTGCCTAAAACCATGTCCTCAACCTCAATATTACCCAACTGATTGTTTCATGAAAGAAAAGCAATGCATAGATGCACCTTTGGTCAAGAATCATGAAGCCAACGCGTGCTTTCTAATTTTATGGGCCACGTCTCACAAACAAACAAGATAACCGTGCAGTATACTCCCAGTGAGACTGGCAGACAGATATCTCGCCAGCACATCATTCAAATAAATTATAAGCTTTTATTTCATGGTGAAAAATGAACGATAGGATATGATGAAGATATATTTCGGTTGGGAATGTCTTATGATGAGTTCTATTTCAACTGAAAAATCTGCAATAAAATCAGTGACACTACAAAACGCCATCGAAGAGATACTTTTATACATAAAGAGTAAGTACATGTTCATACCCACATCTAAGTCACTATATCGTCAGGAAGGACGTAGAAGTAAGAAACGGAAACTTGTTGAAGTACTTAATGCTGAGAATTCTATATTGTATCAAAAATATAATAATGAATAAAGCTCATAACAATAATAATAATAATAATATATAGATAGATAGATAGAAACCCATACACCCCTGAGTAATTTTAAATACAATACTAAGACCCAATGCAATTAGGTGAAAGAGAGTTGTGAGAAAAATATCTGAAGGATTGATACCAAAGCAACTACTAGTAAATGAAACTGATAAACTAATTAATAACTGTATAATACGAATATACCCTAATCTTGTTTAATATATTATGATACCCTTAATGCTTTAAGTGTTGTTTCCAATTAATAAGAAAAAATTTAATAAGTCTCAGTCCATTGCTATTAAAATAAAAACCATAATCTATAACACAGGTGACAGTTTATTTCATGATTAAAAAGAGATTATTTCCGATTTAATGAGTGGTAATAAGTCATATATATATATATATATATATATATATATATATATATATATATATATATATATATATAAACATTACGCAAAAGGTTTAAGGGTTAGGTAAAGTAATAAATAATTCTTGATTAATGAAAGGAAGGTAGGTAAGAAATATAATTTACCATTAAGAATATAATCGGTGAGCATAGGTGTCAGATTTGGATTGTTCGTTAAAATTGCTAGAAGCATATCGTTGAACAGTTCCAACTGGGTAACGGTAGGTCCTTCGTTCCTTGGAGATCGGTGGTATGGAACCGAAGTGGTCAAATACTAATAGCGGAATAACAGAAAAAAAAACAAAAATTCATATTTGCATTCAATGAAGGATATTTAAATTCCTGGAAATTAATATTACTCGGCCAAAACAATCACAACCAGCTGATCATAAAGGGACTCAAAAAAGACACTGGATAAAGGAATTAACTGAGAGTAAATAGTGTACGTACAAACAGCATAGGTTCCGAGTTTTTAAAGTTCTAGCTAAGTGTTACGTCTGGCCGATTGTGAACGCTGTATTCGCTTCCCTAAGCTAGTTCCGTACCCCCGAGCTAGAACTATACACCGACTTGAAGACCAGAGAAAAAGCACAAAGTGTGAGGGAAGCACATTACTACAGGGTTCATTTATGTACAGAAAATATGGGGATTTAATTTAAGAGTCCTTGAGTTTTACTGAAAGTTCTAGAACACTGCTAAACATAGTAGCAGTGTACAAATCAGCCAATCAGGATCTCCACATGTGACTTTTCCATTTTCGTTATTTTAGTAACATAACTTCACATAACTTCTAATTAATCACTGATTGGTTGAAATGCTCCTTGATGACCCATGAGCTTGTCATGTCGCTTGCGAGAAAATTACAGGGTCATCCCAACACCTCCCCTTTTTTTTCTGAAGATTCGGGGTAGGTATCCAGACTGCATTTGCCGATTTCATCCTCCCCCACGAAACAATGTTGGATCCTCATATCTCCAAATTACAATTAATATGACATTAAGCTAGTTCCGTATCCCCGAGCTAGAACTACTCCGTGCGACTTGAAGACCCATGAGCTTGTCATGTCGCTTGCGAGAAAATTACAGGGTCATCCCAACACTAAGGAAGCCTGTTGTCCTATTTGGCACAATGATCGAACGTTAAAAGTTCCTACATGTTGTTTAGAGCGTGGTTTCAGGAGACCAGGAATAACGTTCCGCGTACTCCAATCGTTTGCCCTAGCGGTTTACTTACTTACTTACGCCTGTTACTCCCAATGGAGCATAGGCCGCCGACCAGCTTTCACCAACCCACTCTGTCCTGGGCCTTCTTTTCTAGTTCTATCCAGTTCTTGTTCATTCTTCTCATGTCTGTCTCTATTTCTCGGCGTAATGTGTTCTTTGGTCTTCCTCTTCTCCTTAGACCTTCAGGATTCCATGTGAGGGCTTGTCTTGTGACGCAGTTAGGTGATTTCCTCAAGGTGTGCCCAATCCAATTCCATCGCTTCTTCCTGATTTCTTCCTCTGCTGAAATCTGGTTTGTTGTCTCCCACAATTACTTGTTGCTGATAGTATCTGGTCATCTGATCCGAAGTATCTTGCGTAGACAATTGTTAATAAACACTTGTATCTTCTGGATAATGGCTTTCGTAGTTCTCCACCTCTCCGCCCCATACAGTAGAACTGTCTTCACATTTGTATTGAAAATTCCTACCTTGGTGTTGGTTGACAATTGTTTTGAGCTCCAGATGTTTTTCAGTTGTAGGTATGCTGCTCTTGCTTTGCCGATCCTTGCCCTCACATCTGCATCTGATCCACCGTGTTCATCAATGATGCTGCCCAGATATGTAAAGGTTTCCACATCCTCCAAAGCTTCTCCGTCAAGTGTAATTTGATTGGTGCATATTGTATTGTATCGGAGAGTCTTGCTTTTCTCTTTGTTTATATTGAGACCTATTGCTGCTGAGGCTGCTGCTACACTGGTCGTTTTCTCCTGCATTTGTTGTTGCGTTTGTGATAGAAAAGCCAGATCACCCGCGAAGTCTAAATCGTCAAGCTGCATCCTGTCTGTCCACTATATTCCGTGGTTTCCTCCAGATGTTGACGTCTTCATGATCCAGTCGATTACCAGGAGAAAGAGAAAGGGTGAGAGTAAGCAACCTTGTCTAACACCGGTCTTTACTTCCGTTCTTCAAAGGGCCTTACCGCTGGAGACGGAAATCCGTGAGGTAAGGTGGGGTGTGACATTTTTAGGGTTGACCTTTTCTAACCCCTTCCTTCCTTGTGAGAAGACAGTATTGCTGCAGATGCTGGTTGTCCGAGGGAAACACATTACTGCTGTCACACCCCTCTACAGTCAGCAGTACGACTTCGCCCTCAGATCTTGAGTTGCTGCTTTTAGTCTTACCATTCTTCGATCGACCTGCCTGGCACGGTAGAACCTACAGGAACATATGTTCCATCCAGTATAGCTCAGTTGGGTCATCGCGATAGGCAAGTCCGACCACCAAGTCAAGGTAGCAGCTACGGTCGGAGGACTATTATATCTACTTATAAATGAACCATGTTTAGACGCTAAAACAGTTAGTATAAGTATTATTACTAAGGTCTGACTTGATAATTCCAAATAATGTATTTGGTAGGTTGTTAGCAACACTGTGGAGTGTGTTACTTATGAGGACAAAATCAAGTAATATGTGAAGGGAATTGGAATTGGGATGCATACCAGAAGAGGATTGAAATAAAGAGAGAAGGGAAAACGGAGAGCAATCGGAATAACACCAGGATTGGAAGAATGATGAAGTGTGTGAAGGACAACTTAAGGATGATGTGCAAATGATGTATTTGATGTACGATTTTTATATTTTACAAAGGCAATGTGATTTCGCATAAACAACCAATTGGTTTGCCGCACACGAGCTTTCGTTCACTACAATATCAATTATTGTAGAGGGATGCTTCATTTACAGATACATAATTCATTCAGACTAAAAAAGGAGTTATTTTATCGACTTATAAATTAGATGCAGTTTCATAATATACTGAGTAACTGAAATAAAGATATTTTTGGTATGGTCTATAAGCGTAAACATGAACATCTGAAAATAATAAAAAAGCGATATTTAAAATGGCGTTGACTACCTTATATTCAAGATCATCCGAACTTAGCTCAGATCGTCCAATCAAATGACCAGAAGCTGAGTGTGTTAAAGTGGCAGGTATTGAAGGGAATTCAAATTGGGATGATGTAGGACTAGTTACTGCTGAACGAGCTTCTCTACTACGGACAAACGAGTTTATTGGGACTTCTGCTTGATGACGCCCACGACGAAGAAAAGCCCTGAAGGTCCCGGTGTTCTCAGTTTCCGAAGGTCCTTCCGATTTTCTCCCGGCCCATTTTCGAAGACGAGCAATGGCAATAGCTCGAGCAGACATAATTGCGGGACAGTGAATTGTATGATCATCTTTATCGGACAAATTGTTTACGTCATATTTATTATTTGGAGAAATGGATGCAATGTGGACAGGATTACTTTGATCTGACTGGTGAGTTGTTCCTGAAGTATCCTTTGAAAATGTACTCAGCTTTCTCAAACGTCTTTTTATTGCAACTGTTGCAGATGACGTTGCAGCAACTGCTGCTTGAGCTGCCGACTGTGCACCTGTTAGTAAGAAAATAGTTCGTAGTGAAGAAAATAGACACACATCAAATTTACTAACCTAAATGTTTAAAAATCCCAACTATTGAGCGAAACGAAAATATGCTACTGTAACTTACTCTTTATCAACAATAAGATTCCTACAAGAGAAATGGATTTTAATTTTTAAAAATTGACACATCCTTATCCATCTAATGATCAAACAATTTAAATCCTTATTAAATGAGTGTAAAAAACGAAAGTAAATAGTCCTACTGTAAAGCAATGTATAATTCAAGAAAACCAGCGATAGAATACTTGGTTTAGAAAGTCAATAGTTATGTTTATTTTAGAGGTTAATATCGCACAACCTTTAAAAAAGCATTCGCAAATTCAACTTGGTAAACATCAAACTAGTGCGTATATTACATGCATTAGGCCTATGGTTAAATATTGATTTTATTTGTCCTGATTAGTGAGTGACTAGATCCAGGTTCCGCAAATAAATGTTACAATCTGCCACAAATACCCAGTGGTTGAGAACAATAAAATCTTCGAATTGAAGTACTTGGTGAAAACACTACAGCATTACGAATAAATTAACTTTCTAATACGTTAGATATTCACCTTCATAGACCTAAACTCCTGTGAACGTATATACGCAAATATCATAAAATGAATCTACTGTGATTCATATACGAAGTAACTATATCATGTACACAGTGAAATTCATTGTAGAGGTTGAAAACTATGATTGCATAGTAGAAGGTAGGTATGAAGTGATTTAAGATCATAAAAAACAAATAAGACACCAAAAATATTGAAAATATGAACATAGCATACGTAAAATGAACGGTGGAGCTTCTTTTTGAACAGAATTCGGTGGTGATCCCATATTTTCAAATACTAGGTTTCGCCCAAATGTGGACGCTTCATCATAGTCTTTTACCAACAGAGAATTGGACAGTAACTGGATATGACTATCTGGTGGTATACTTAAACGTCTCCGACGCTCCAGACGGCGATGCAATTCATTCAAGCGTGCAATAAAAATATCTTTCTGTTCCTGTTCAAAATCCAATTCTTCTCTATATGCTAACTCTTGAACAAGGATAGCAGAGTATTCTCGTACACAAGATTCTAGCTCTTCTAATAATGCGTTGAGTTCATTCAGAGAAAGATCTTGCATAGCTTCAAAAATTCACATAAAGTAAAAGTTAATTTGAAATTTTTTAATGAATATCAGGTAAACGTTTTTTTAGTTCAGAATAAAATAAAATGATTAGATAAACAATTATAACGATGCTTTGTTTTCATTATTTCAATGAATTCCTCAGCTAAGAGAATTAAACAGTTTTCAAACGATTAATAGATGAGAAAAAACACCAATGATTAGTAAAACTAATGTCCAAAATAAAATTCAGGTATAAAATTAATTCACGCTTAGTAAGTAAAAAGGAGTTAAAACTGTATACATAATATAATAAACTAAAAAGTTTAATCACTTTATTTGATGCCATACAAATATTTCAGTGCATTAAGTAACAGAATTGATTACAACAAACGCAAGTGTTAGCAAAAGTTAGCATGTTGAAAGCCCTATGACAATACTTCATGATAACTATCTTTTGTTCTAATACAAACAATGACGTGTAAATCTATTGGATCGCGTTCGTGAGTGGCTACAAATCAGACATGAAAGATTATAAAGAACGCAGTGTAGACTCATTCACTATTCATCAGGATTTTAAACATCACAGTATTTTATAACTGTTTCCCTCTACTTGCTAATGTCCCAGTTCACTTATTGACACAGTTATTTTTTTTCGGTGGGAGCTTGAATACAATTATGTACAACTTGATCAGTTATATATTTAACAGTCATCAGACATTTTAAAATTACAATACTAGTGACAATAAAAATTCCATATGGAGCTATTAAGTTAGCACTCAAGTTTGATCACCGATGGCGCTTCTGTTTCTGTCAGTTAAACGAGAAAACAACTGACCTGTTAACCGACAGCAGATATAGAACTCACGTACACGTTTGAGCGAATTACTACATACACTTTTAGGTAGTTGCAAGTCGAATCTTCAAACTCATTTAAACTCGTCTAATGGATACTTTAGTGTTCACAGTTTAGAATGCGTAGTGATACATTCAAAAGAAATCAAATTAAACAAAGCCCCCATTTCCGATCATAAGAAAGAAAACCAGATAAACATTATAGTTAATACAAGAGGTGCGCAATTGAACAGATGCATAGATTATCGATGTCTTGTATTAGCAAGCGTCTCTAAGTAGGGTTTTTGAAAACCGAAAAATATGAACAATATTATCTATTATAAAAATGTAAACCTTCTTCAGGAAGCCAATCACTTCCGATATTTTCTATCCCAAGTGGACGTTTATACTCCGACTGAACCATATTGCACAGTGACAAAGGGATATCCTCATTATCATTCTGAAATAGTTTAGGAAACTTTGCTCTACATTTACCATAAGGATATCAATTTCCTTAATGATTTCGTCGGCGGTTTGGACGATGTCATCGTATGAATCAGGCAACTGAGATGTTACTAACGAATGGTGGTCGAATGCATAACTAATGGCTTCATCTTCAGGTATATCTAGGTCGTAACATTTAACTGGTTGCTAAATGTTGTAGATTAGTAAATTGTGAAACTAACTTCCTGTTCATTGATATCCAAAGCTTCTAGAACAACTCCATACAAACACGTCCCAAACCAATGTACTGGTGGAAATGTGTAGTGACTGAGTAGTGGACCCAAATATTCTCTGCTACAAATATTCAAATAATTATCAGAGAAAAAAGAGACCTACGAATCAAACGATTGCGGCTTATCCTTAAGTTTAACCTGATTGTTTAAATCTTTGAAAACATCATCAAACGTGAAGCACCTTGTGATTTCCTCACTAAAAGCTGTGGTTAAATCATTGGTCATGTTGCGGTCTCCGGAGACTAAAGAATGTGTTTTCTCAATATTTCACTGCTGTGTGTCGTTTTGTCACATAGCCCGGAAAACCAAGTGGTAGGGAAACATCAACCTTTCGGACCCAACAACGAATCTTTAAGGAAGAATGGAATTATAGATAATCATAAGACTTTAATATTTGTTTTTGAAAGATTAAACTCAGTGATGTAACGATTTCAAACAGTAATATAACCGAAAATCGAATACATCATTATCTCCTAACTAAACATCAGCGTACTAAAAACAACGGCAAGCTGGTATCTTGCTGATGAAATGTCCCGCTAAAGATTCTCAAGGGCCTAAAAGATACCTACATCAATCCCCTTTTTGTGACTCGCGAAGTTTATACCAAATCTCTGTAGCTACGTTTTAGTTAAGTATACAGTGATTTTATATCTAGTCGTACACTTTCACTTATATTAATTTTTTTAACGATTGATCTTCTTACCTCAAAGTCAGGACTGTTTTAAAAATTTTGAGAGGCATCATTTTCAATAAGCACACATGAATTAATGAAATTAGCAGTATATTTCACACAAAATACAGACATTCTAACATTTGTAGGAAACAGGTCAAAGTGAGACCCTCACTTATACATTGGTCTAAAAGTTGGATTTAAGGTATAGTTCAGATTTATTTATACGTCCTGACTAAAAAAACGGTTATATTATGTTAGCCTACTGTTTACGAACTTGAAACCTAACCTGAATTCTGGGTGGTTCACTTTGTGGAACGTGCTGCTTAGAGAAGGTAAGCTAACAAATAACAGGACTTGGATGAGAAAGTATTTGGCTTATAATTCGTTAATTATATTCCACATAACCTAATAACTAAACAAATATTCGTGTATCTGGTGTCGTCAGTCCTAACGTAGAACCTCTTACGTATGTACTCCGGTTCAAGTTGTCAGACCTTATTAACACAGGTGTCAGGCCGAATCCCAGATTAGTAGAGGTAGTAAAAATACCACTGGCGGTCAAAAAGGTTAGGCATTGAAGATACGATTGAAGAAAATACAAATTAGTGAAATAAAAACACAAAAAATGTCATGATGAATTTAGAATCTCAGAATTTGAAAGACAAAGAATGGATGCAACTGCGACATTGAGAATGGTTTCGAGTCATATAACTCAAAGCGTCTACCCGCTGGTTAGTTACCAAGCGTGGTGTTGAGTTGCATTTGAAACGCGGATTAGTGATAGTGCTAGGCTCTACTTAAAAGGAGGATTACGACTTCAGCCCGAAAATTACAAAGCTAATTTGATAACTAGTAATTTCCATGACAGCACAAAAAATATGGTTATTTTGACATTTCGTACCATGAGGTGTATACATTACAAACAACACTTCTGGCAATACTATACGTATAACTATCAGCAAAATGGCCCATGCAACTGTCAGTACCTAACCATGAACATAGATCTGTGGGTTGTTGTTACTTATTTTGAAAACATTGACAGCCGTTAAACTTAAAGATTCAGGAATAAAAGTACTCTCTGAACTCATGAAGTCACATTCTTCAATCTCTCATTACAACTGGGGGGTTGAGAAACATTAATTTAGTCAAGCGAATGGATGTAAGAACATAATCAACAATATTTGAGGTCCAAATACATCACTTAGGGTGAAAACTGGCACGAACACTTATTAAAGGAATTTTCATAATTACGATTTCATCTCCAACAATATATGAGTATATGTACGATCAGCAGACGTAACAAACCAAACAAAAACAATCAACCATGGTTGATTGCATAGTTACGGTGATCATTGCACTATGATGAAATAATACATATATAATAAAGGAGACGATGGATTTACAAATTTAAATAAATGGAAGGTATCCTAGCGTAAAAACTTAACAGTTGATTTGAAGTACGGAATAATTGGTAACACCCACCAACACAATACGTTTCAGTTTGAAATAGACGGGAAGCTGGATGGCTTATTTTACTCCTGATAATTGTGGTCTCCTGGTTGATCAGCATTTCTTTTGAAAGCATCGACAGATGGATCTTCAACCACTTGTTGAGTTGATGGATTCCATACGTTGATGATTTGATGAAAATGTCGATAGTCATCTGACAAGTAATTTCTCCCCCTCTATATGTAAATTGTTACTCCAGGACTGGCCTGCGTCAACACCTTAACTAAGGATAGGGAGTGAAGTAGTCGAACGCATGGACAACTTCACTTATCTTGGAAGTCTGATCAGCCCTAACGGGTTGGTGTCTGACGAAATCTCAGCACGGATTCAGAAAGCTCGTTTGGCTTTTGCCAATTTACGTCGCCTATGGCGAATACGAGATATCCATCTATCAATTAAGGGACGAGTATACTGCACAGCAGTTCGTTCTGTTCTACTTTACGGCTGCGAAACATGGCCATTAAGAGTAGAAGATACTCGTAAGTTACTAGTATTTAACCACAGATGCCTTAGAAATATTGCTTGCATCTGCTGGGATAACCGGATAAGTAATAATGAGGTTAGACGCAGGATATTAAGGAATGATGGTAAATCAATTGATAAGGTTGTAAATCTTCATCGTCTGAGATGGTTGGGCCACGTGTTACGTATGACTGAACACCGATTACCACGACGTGCTTTGCTGACTAGTGTAGGGGATGGTTGGGAGAGAGTTCGGGGTGGCCAAACCGAAACGTGACATCGGCCTATAAAGTCACTAACGTCTAGTCTGAGCCATGTCGGTTGATTCAGAGTACTTGTTTGGGGTCCGCACAATTATCTTAACCAGTGGTTTGAGACTCTGTGTGACGTGGCTGATAATCGATCACAATGGTGTAGGTGTACACATTCTTTGCTTTCCCCTGAGCCGTGAGATTAAAATTGCTTTATGTTTATTTCTACGAACTAATTCTTTCTTCCTGTATTATATATATCCTTATACACAACCTTTTTTATATATTACTACCACTGAAGTAACTAGTTCTATGAATTAGGTGTTCATCTTGTTGCACTAATGAAGTATGGCAACTTGGACCGATGCATATATGTGCCTGGTCCAACGTTGTAGTTGACTGACTGACAAGTAATTTGTTCTGAGCTAGTGAACTTTTCTAGAATGTCCTCATGAATTCCCTGCTTTGAAAAATAACGCCATAGAACATTCCGGTTTATCTCAAAGTAGGTTGAAACTGTGGTCAACTCACATCTGGTTCTCCAGTGACAAGGGGAATAGATTTGGATTAGTCAATTTATCATCATACAGGAACTTTGTGATATTTGGGAACATTTTACAACAGCCCACTGTCTCCTTTCAAGAAGATAGTCACTTGTATGCAATACCAGAGTTTAGGATTAAGGAATACTGTATAAAAAGTCAAAAAGGCCTCAGCATAAACATGGCTAAAAGCTCTAGGTATTGACCACAGGGTTCTAAAACCTCTGATGGCTATCGCAGGACAGCATATAACACAACTGATGATCAAAGGGGACTCCGAAGGGAATGATGTTTTTCACATTTTCAAACCCAATATCTTTGTTACGGGCTTACACGAACTGATCGGTTTCCTTGAGCTTCCTGTTCGTCATTTTGATACAGCTCCAGGTCTTTGGTGACGTCCAATGGAAGGTAATCTAACCACTCGACTTTACTAATTCTGGTCAGTTTTGTTCAGTTCCACAACCAGACAACTTATTGTCGCCGTCTACTAACCTCTGCTTGTTTTCGTTGATGAGTAGATTATGGTGTTGTAGCAGGTCCATAACGATGCTTGACACAGAAACATCTGCAACGACGAGAATCCAGTGAATGGGTCTATGTGAACCCACGTGAAGGTAAATATTTCTTTACGTACGTGGTGGTCGGTTTTTCATCTGCCGCTTACAATCAGAGAACTGGTTCTTGTATACGATCATTGGTATTTACAAAAAGAACGCTCACGTCTGTGCCATTGTCGACGAGATATCCAACTTCCGTTGCCATGTCGACGGTATATGACAGAGAGGTTTTTACACTGCCTACTATTGCCGTTAATGTGAGCAGGTGAGTAGGTTTGCCGAATGGCTTTTCGTGACGGAGGGTTTGGGATTGTAGAAACTGTAATTTCTATGAGATTTTTAATACTTGTTGGGGTACCAACATCAATTGTGTCTATCTGCAACGAATAGTCTAAAAACAAATCGTTCTCGTTGCAAGCTTATTTGGGGAGTTCCAGAGTGTCTGTGGTCAATAATGATAATGCGTGAGAGTTGCGGAAATCTGCGATGTCATTCTGAGTCGTTTGAGGTTTTTCCCAGACAGGACGGAACTCGGTCCTGAGGATCCTGGTGATCTAATCGGCAGATGTAGACAGTTTGTCCACGGATTTATTTTGACATGAGACAAGAACCGCATGCACCTTCCAAGAGAGCTTAGATAAGAATAGTTGTCTAAAGAATCTCTTTTCAAGAGTACGTTGACCAATGTCCTCTCGCGTACGCTAAAATCACACAGCAGTCCCTTTACTGATGTGAGGAGCTGCACAAGTGGATCCGTCTCTCTGCATTCGTGAAAACGGCTTCTGCGCTGCAGAACCAGGCTTCGACATAAGGATGAGCTTCACCACAGTGTTGGTTTTGCTGGAAAACTGTAAGCCCTGCAAGTGGTCATTTTATTGAGTAGGAAATGGGTTTGGAAAACCTTTTTACGATATATTCCTGATTCGGACAAGGTATGTCATGGTGTCTGAAGTTCTAGAGGTATGAAGAAACATTACACGGACAAGTGCTTTTGGTACAAATATGGTTCCTAACTGATTGATTACATCAGAATACTTTTTACACAAGACCTGTCTCTTGTTTTCCTCCATTGACCTGTGCCATCACATTGTTTTCAAGCGGACTTGTCAGTAAGTTTGATAACGATCTGATGTCCATCGGCGAATCAATTTGTATAACCTCTCATATGTCATGATTCTGATGTTTAACTTGAAATTTAGTATTATATAAGTGCAAAATGGCAAATAACAATAACAAAATCACCTTTTATTCACTTAAGTCCAATTCTTTTAGTTGATCAGTTGTACTTTCTCTGTCTTTGAACAGAACCTACTGAGTGACAGGACTAAACTGCAGTAAATTAAAAAAAGTTGTTCTTTATCAATTTAATGCGATGAACCTTCTCGTAACTTGTTCTAACCGTAGTAATTTGAGAAGACATATGAAGTTTCAGATATCACTGTCAGATGTGTATTACTGACATTGCCTCATCCCTTTTATTCGGTAAACTTGCAGCGTTCATATATAGGCATTTTATGTTTTCAATCTGAAACGTGTGAATCTCCTTATCCTGTTTATCTGAATGAAACTTGTGTGAACGGACAGACAGTCTACCTATACAACTTTTACCTAGTTGATGGCTCCTGTCTCTTCTACGTTCTCTCCATTATCTTGACAGTCCACACGTGGGATATTCAATCTCAACTTACTTTTGTACTTGATTGATGTATCATGTGGCTTGTCCGGGTGCACGTGGAGTCTAGTTGGCAACCGGTTTTTATTAGCATAAAATACTTCGAGAGTGGCAGCCTCCAAATGAGATGTGAAGGTTTTCTTCATTAGTCGGGGTCAAGAATCCCATCCTTTTTGTTTAGTCCCACCACTTGTTGAGTCAATATGCTTTTGAGCTTCAAGGACTGTCTCATAAATGTCCACTTCCGAATAACGGAGTTCTTTTAGTTGGCCAGTTTGAATGCATTTGGGATTCCCGCCCTCTTTACCGGTTGAACAATCTTATTTCACTACAAGACCTGGACTGTTCAGCCTTTTTTACGGTGACACTCGACCCTCTTTAACTCTGTCGATAGGGGTTTAGTCGCCTTTAGAAGTTCCGCGAACTACAGCTTCATTTAGGGAGCCTGTGTTAAGAGAACCAAGTTTGATGATAGTCCACTACTGTCAATGTTATGATGACGTGGAGCTTCAGCATGCTCTCACTAGTGTCGATATGTTTTCCATCTATATTAATGCTTTCAAAGGCCACCTTCCTTATTTCATTTTGTCCGTTTCAGGACTGACTTTTTTCTAGGTTTTCTGACATCTTCTTACGCAGACCTGTCAAGAGAATGATGAGAACTGCAAACCACGTTGAGATCAAACCTCCTGTTCATAGAGTGTGCGCACCTGAGGTTTATGGCATACTTTTCTGCAGACATCCCCAATTTCGCATCTAGATTTCTTATTGTGTTTCCGTACCCATATTAGTGTTTCAAATGCTACGTTTGTTACATGTACCAGAATTTCTAACACCATCATGGTCGGCGCTCAAGATGCCCTAAGTATTTGGAGTTTAACAACACCTTAACCAGTAACACATATAATTGTAATTCCCACATACAGTGAAAACGAAAGTCAGAAGTGATGAGGTTGGGAGAAATCTAGAAGTGATTGATTTAAACTGGCTAGCGGTTGTAAGAGAAGTTGAGCTCAACGTTCCCACTCGTGATCTGGTGCGGATGTGTGACCGACCGTCTTCAGCTAGGTGGGTTCACTAAAACTAATGCAGTCGACATCAGATATCGAAGACTTACAGAGCTATTGCTTCTGGGGATTTATTTACCGCTACAGCCTTCTTGTTATTAGGTAAGATAATTTGGTTTCTCAGATCATTCTATATATGATAGAATTCGGTTTCTAGGGCTTTTTGACAAAGATATGTACTCAGATAAAAGTAAGAGCAACGGGGGTTTAATCCTGATTATTGACTTAGTCATTTATTACGACAGTCGCATTGAAATTCGATTTACCTGGCGCACTATCTGCTACTGTGCGTTGTGACCGATTGCATCCGCTTTTGTTGCGCATTTTTCGGTCTGCTTGTTCATTCAGTACGTTGTTAAATGTTATGAGGAGAATATGATGAGCTGGATTACCTTTTTGTCTTTTTTAATAAATTTTGTGCTTTTTACTTATAGATAGTTCCCTGCTTGTTCATTGTCAGATCCGTGTTTTTCAATCGCTGGCAGAACCTAAAGAGCCAAGTATTGAGGCCCTTTACATGTGGTATGTCTTGAATTTGTTTGCCTTTTATCTAGTTATACCGATATTGCGTCCATAATGCATTTTAACTTGTTTATTCTAACCAGTAAACATTTTCAAACATAAAACTTCCCGGTTACTTTTTATCAAATCCAGTGGTGTTTACACGTGGTATCTCGTACTTAGTAATGAAGCTCTTTTCATTCCGTTTGTTTATTCGAGACTATTTCAAAGCGCTTTTGCACATGATCAGGAGGCAATATAGATCCTTCGGATATGTTAAATTTAACTTATAGAGGACAGGAATAAACAATGTACTATTCATAAATCCCACCAATAGTAATGGGATTCCGTTCGTTCATCGACATACACATAACCACCCCTAGTTTCGATTTCGTTCTATAAAAGGTATTTCGGCAGTCGTTTTAGAAGTTCCTAAACTCTTCCCACTTCAGCGTATGAGTTCGAGCACTTTGTGTATATATTTTGTTGTGGAGTTCTCTGTCAAGTTCCAGGAGTCAGCGTCTGAGGTTCTCAGTACACTTAAAGTTCGCAAAGTACAAAAGCTGCGACAATCGGATGACCTGATCTATTGAAGTTATTCTCTACTTAAAAATTTCCCTGTAGTATTATTTACCTACTGATAGGTTTCAAACATATGGCTGTTAAATATCCTTGCCTAAACTAGGACCTGTTTCGCATTAGAATTTGTCTTCGGTGGATCTTCGAGCTTCATTACAATGAGTCATGTTTCTGGAGATTTTCGCACTCGTAGACTAGGTCACTCAAGTGGTTGTATACAAAAGTATTATATGCATGGGTTTCATTTTGGGTCTTACTCTGATACATATATTAGGCATTTAAAACTTTTTGTCCTAGCAAACAAGGTGTTGAGCTATTTTGTTGTATACGTTTTCTTTTTGTGACAAGCGTTTTTTTGTTGGTGCCACTAATAAAGGTGGTATAATACATGGCAAAAGAAATCCATTTTCTCTCATAAACTCTTATATGTAGCATTTTTATAAACATTTTGTCTCTGTTTATAATAGGGGTACGATCAATAGAAGTTGCAGGTTTTCCTTTGAATGCGGAAGGCTTTTCACAACTACTACTACCATCCTTGTACAACAGTTAAGTTTCCTAAATAAGCAGTTCACTTCTTATTCAGTTCAAAAACGACCGCTAACCATTTTTAAAGATAGTTACAATCGTAATGACTTTTATCATAACATGTGGATCTTATTTTTTTCATTAAAATGTACATTGCTTGCTGTTCAGTAATAATAACTATACGCTCTTAACATTAAATTTTTTAATTACCTTCTCAGATTCATGTCTTCCGCCAAGAATTTGAAATCGGGCTTTGTATCGTTACAACTAAATCAAGTAGAATGGTGTGTTCCGTCAAGATACAACGAACTTTCAATGATCGGGTATGGGGCGTACGGAACTGTTTGGTATGTCAGTATAAATAAACTTTGTGTACACTTATATTTATTCATATATTTCCGAATATTGTTTTATCTTGAGTTATCTTTTCTTTTACTGAGCATTAGTAACATTTCATAATTCCGATCAAGTAGTCAACTAATAGGATCACTCTCACAGAATATCTATTACGCTTATTTTTATGTTACTTCTTTGTGGTGTGCTGATGGAGTAGATTAAGGTTCAAACTGTTTGAAAAAACCTTGGTACTAAAGCTATCGTTCGTTGAATGAGATTCATTCAATTTAAGTCAGGTCATACCTGTTTTGTGTCTTGTAATTGTCCTCGAATATGTACTTTACTCTTACCTCATTGCACAGTTGAAATATTTGCTCTCCAATAAACAAGCGATCAAAGTGTGTAAGCGTAATGCTCATCTGATTCTGAAAATCAACGGTTCGTTAAGTATAAATTCAGCTCATTTCTATCAACCTTTAAAAATATAAGTTTTAACCTATTTAAAAATAAAAGTTTTTATGTTGGCAACCCTAATTTCAGAATTCCTGTACCGAGTTACTAAAATTCGTTATTTCCTCCTGCTGCGCGTAAACTTTTTAACTATTTTATGAATTTTGGTTTTATGTTAAGGAATTCACTAAATAATCATAAAAAATACATCATAGTTTTGTTAGTTTTTCCATCAGTAAAATTAGGGTTAATTATTTAGTCAGTCAGTCTTAGGGCCTCTACAAATACACCTTAGTTCAAGTTAATGTGTTAGCAATATGAGAGGAATGGGAAAATAATTCTAATAATGTTGTAATGATAATGTAATGATAATGAAAAAGACTAGACATCCAGATTATAGTTCTAAAAAAACGATAAAAAGTCATGTATGGAAGAAAACTGTAACTGAAGATCCAACGAAAGAGTAAATGTATCTGCTTCATTGTGACCGTTTATAAGCCATGCTACCCAATATCTTCGACCACTCATTATTGTTATTTCAGGGACACCAATTAGATAGTTTTCATCTACGAACATGGCTTAAACCAACAATCATTTAGGATGGGATATTTAGCCCACACTTACTGTCGTAGTTGTAAAAATTAGACAACGGTACTTGATGGAATGGTTAATTAATTAATTAATTAATTTAAGCACATAAATATTGGTACAAAGGGGAACCAGATACATATGCGCCACACAAAAAATGTCATTTCATTCAATTGTGTGAGGGCTAAGATACTGACCGGGTGCCCAGACCGAAGCAGGTGGTTTTCTTGGGGGGCCACACCCGGAGCCCTTGACCTAAAGGTCTGATCCACAAGACAGTGAAGCATCGTAAGGAGATGCAGTCCCATGCTAGCCGGTGAACAAAGATTGATTCATACGCCATTTGTTCCCTTAGGATACTGGAACCCATGTACACCATTGATTTCGAATCAGGGTTTCCCAACTCCCCTAGGTGGACTTTGAGTGTCCACCAATCCAGTTAAAGCTCCGGACATTCGCTTTTCGTTCCCTCAATTTCGTAAACAACAGTATTGTCACGAGAAGGCAGTGAGTAAGACTTCCCTGGCAATGGCTTTATAGGCGTGGCTATGTGAGAGCACTTCGAAAGGGAGAGCGGACTCTCCACTCTCGGTCGTACCAGGGCATTTGGGGGCGGAATGGTCAAACATTAATGACAAAGTACAGTGTGTACATCTCTGATATAAGAGGGACACAGTCATTTAAAAAAAACTATGGAAACTCATTGAAATCCCTTTCCATCCCTATTTTTATGAGGCAGCTTAAATCAAACTGAAAGACATTTAGGTGGGTTTTTAGTATTCCAGCCCAACAAACTGATAATGATGATCGTCTGTTGCAACTATCCTCAGATAATCGTTTATTTTTAGCAAGCACTAACTTTAAACATAAGGAGAGACATCGTCTAGCATGTCGACCACCTTCACCAAACCAACGATGGACTAAATTAGACCATATTGTCATCAGTCATCGTTGGAGAGGCTCAATAGAAGATTGTCGCTCGTATTGGAATACTTGTTTAGACTCAGATCACGCTTTAATACGAGCGCGCATTTGTCTGCGCCTCACTGGACGCAGGAAAACTACACTAAGAAGACCCATTAGGATTGAACTGGAGGACGAGAAATCCAGATATAAATTCCAGGAACAACTGAGTTCACATCTAGTTAGTTCTGTAATCGAGACTGACCCAGATGCTGCTTGGAAAGACATACGAACAGCTGTGAAAACAGCAGTCACATCTATTAGTAATTTAAACCATAGGGTTCCAAAAAATCAATGGATTTCTTCCAAGTCTATTTCACCGATGGATTCGTGTAAATTCATCCTATCAGGCTCTGAACACGACGAAGAGCGTAAACAAATCAAATGTAGATTGACTAAAAGTCTAAGGAACGATCGTGAGCAGTGGTGGGCAACGAAAGCAAAAGAAATGGAAAAGGCAGCGGCTGAGGGCAACACCAGGCAACTCTTCAGACTAATAAAAGAAACCGGAATTAATAAGTCAAGTGTAAGTGAAATGATCTCGGAGAAAGACGGAACCCTTATCTGCTCTCAGCCCAGACGTTTAGAACGATGGGCGGAACACTTTAAGGAACAGTTCAACTGGCATTCAGCTACTGCATAACTACCCACTATTCCCAGACAGCCTGAAGGGAACATTGAAGTAGGTCCCTCGACCCTACCTGAAGTTCAAAAGGCTATAACTAATCTGAAACGAGGAAGAGCAGCTGGTCCAGACGTATTGGCTCCAGAGGTCTTTATATATGGTGGTCCAGTTTTAGCGATTAGGTTGACTAATATTCTGGCCAAAATCTGAGAGACGGACGTAATCCCATCTGACTGGTCACAATCTCTGATTGTCCCAATATATAAGAAGGGGCCAAAATCATCCTGTGATAACCATAGAGGGGTTAGTCTGACTAACATAGTATCTACAATACTAGCCTCAATAATTATCGGGCGCCTAACTAAGACTCGTGAACTCCAAACATGAGAAAATCAGGCTGGCTTCAGACCTGGTCGTGGCTGTATCGACCACATATTCACCATTCGTCAAGTTTTAGAGCACAGACATGCTTATCGGCGTCCGACAATGATAGTTTTTCTTGACTTAAAAGCAGCATTTGATTCTGTAGACCGAGAGGTTCTGTGGCAGTGTCTGTCATTGAAAGGTGTACCTCAGAAGTACATAAACCTTGTGAAGGCTCTTTACTCGAACACTACCAGTCGAGTGAGAGCTTATGGCGAACTGTCATATGATTTTACAACGTCAAGTGGTGTCCGTCAAGGCTGTTCACTATCCCCATTTTTGTTTAACTTCATTATAGACCTGTTGCTGGAAATAACACTCTCGTCGACTGAGTTTTCAGGAATTGATCTTCTACCAGGAGGTTCACTTATCGACTTAGAATACGCAGATGACATAGTCCTGTTTGGTGAAGACACTAACAAAATGCAGAGTCTTCTGTTAGAACTGAGTAATAATGCCAGGATGTTTGGAATGCCTTTCTCCCCCTCTAAAAGTAAATTGTTACTCCAGGACTGGCCTGCGTCAACACCTGAACTAAGGATAGGGAGTGAAGTAGTCGAACGCATGGACAACTTCACTTATCTTGGAAGTCTGATCAGCCCTAACGGGTTGGTGTCTGACGAAATCTCAGCACGGATTCAGAAAGCTCGTTTGGCTTTTGCCAACTCACGTCACGTATGGCGAAGATGAGATATCCGTCTATCAATTAAGGGACGAGTATACTGCGCAGTAGTTCGCTCGGTTCTACTTTACGGCTGCGAAACATGGCCATTAAGAGTAGAAGATACTCGTAAGTTACTAGTATTTAACCACAGATGCCTTAGAAATATTGCTCGCATCTGCTGGGATAACCGGGTAAGTAATAGTGAGGTTAGACGCAGGGCATTAGGGAATGATGGTAAATCAGTTGATGAGGTGATGAATCTTCATCGTCTGAGATGGTTGGGCCACGTGTTACGTATGACTGAACACCGATTACCACGACGCGCAATGCTGACTAGTGTAGGGGATGGTTGAAAGAGAGTTAGGGGTGGCCAAACCGAAACATGGCATCAGTGCTTGAAGTCACTAACTTGTAGTCTGAGCCATGTTGGTAGATGCAGACTACCTGGTTGGGGTCCGCGTGACTATCGTAACCAATGGTTGGAGACTCTGGGTGACATGGCTCAGAATCGATCACAATGGCGTAGGTGTATACACTCTTTATCTTCCCTTAAACCTTGAGATTAAAATTGCTTCATAACTTTTTTCCTTCCTATACTATATCCTTCTATACAACCTTTCTTTATATACTACTACCACTAAATTAATTACTTCTATGAATCCGGTGTTCATCTTGTGGTACTAACTAGGTATGGCAACTTGGACCGATACATAAATGTGCCTGGTCGTACTTTGTCGCTGACTGACTGACTATTTTTATGAAGTTTTTCATACTCTTACATCTCATGCTTGTTAGAAGTTGTATCTCACTGTTTGATTGTACGCACTTGGGAGATGGGTTGTCTAAGTTGTTATCCAGCAAAATGTATTTTATTGTTTTTTGAGGTTAACTCCACATAATTTTTCATCTTGATCCTATAACCTCTATTTTCTTGCCGATGTGACTGCTTTTGTAATGTTTATGTAACTAAATTTCTCAGTGTATGTTAAATACCTTACTCATCTGACATGTTACATAAGTAATTTATTATTAATTGTTGTCGTTTTTTTGTTTTCCTTAATATATGCAGTTCTGCCCACGATAACAAATTAAACCGTCGTGTAGCCATTAAAAAGTTGAGTAGACCTTTTGAAAATATTGAATATACAAAACGAACATATAGGGAAATCAATATTTTATCTCAAATGGATCATGAAAATGTAAGTCAATAAAAACGTGTTTCTGGCCATCAGATCCAATACTCAAAAGATTATTGGGTCTGTAGTTTGTTAGGAAAATAATCGAATAACTAATTATTTGACAATTTTGGGTTAATCTAATTGGTGTTGAAATGAGCACATACATAATGTTTTATTCTTAATCTACAGTTAGTTTTGAAGTTGCAGTCGGCAGTTTATTGCCTTCACTTTAGTTTCCTTTGCTGAAACTAAACATAGTCTACACCAACTGACGTTGTGAATTACGACTCATTTGTGATGTAGCTTCATTTGGTACTATGTACCGAGGTACTACGACACTAGCCATTACTATGTTCCCGATATATGTAATAATTATTATAATATTTAAATAATTGTAACAGATCTTTAAATGACCCTGTTACTAGTCAATTAGCAAAATTTTTTATTTGGTGATAAACTGTTAAGGTGTCAAGTTCATTATTGAGCTTCTTTAGAAACTAGATCAAATATATAATCAGTAGCATCATAATATTGTCGTATTGTACCCCTCAGTACCGATAAGCTTACCGTTCAAACCACTCACCATCATTAATTTAAGTGACTTGGAAGTAAATTACTATACTATTTGCTTTGAGATAACTTGTTAACTGCTAGTGAAGGCGGTTGTACCTCTAAATCGGTAACTGTTATATCTACGCTTTTTAGAATTACAGGCAGGTATAAAATAATTATTAGAAACGATATAACTCGTATTCGGAGTGGGATTAAGCTTGAATCCATATCATATTGTGTTTGTACGACTTTTAGAGCTGTTTTCTGTATTTTAATTTTTTCTTATCGGTTATCGATAATTAACTTGGCACCAAGGTTTTCAAATTAATTATGGAATTATTGTATGTTTTTTTATGTGAATTTTAACTAAACATTTCACTAGTCTGCTTTTTTATCTAATAACGGATAAGTTTTAACGCCTGGATATTGGTGTCTTGTCAATTTTTCTAGTATGATTTTAAAATCAGATTTAAGTTTGTAATAACAAATCACTTTATTGTATAATCCTAGATTCTTTTACTCTACTGGTACATTACTCTAGTAGCTCTCGCTTCAAGTCGTGTGGTAGACTACTGAATTATAGTAGTCAATTATTGTTTCTAGTCTCTAGTGTCACTCGATCACCAATGCTATTTGTATTCTTCTTTCTATTCTTATAGATCGTTTGTTTGATTGATGCGTTTTCACCACAGACATCATTGAAAGAATTTTCAGATATGTATGTTGAAATTTAAAGTTTAGAATTTGATTTTTGAGTAAAATTATTTTAATAGAAATAATAGTTTATAAATTGTGACTTGAAGCGATATTTCAAATATGCCACGTGACTGTATTTTGATGTAGTTGGTAACAAAACAGTAAATGCCGATTAGTTGTTTTTTGACCAAATTATATGTCCCCTTTATGTCCAATAAATTTGCGGACTGGTGTACATCCAATTTTTATGAGGAGTAGTAAAATCTCAGCGTATTCGGAAAACGTTGGGGGGATGTTTATAGAGACAAAACAACTTTCCTCAAGCGGATCAAACGTTTCAGTAAGGGTCACAAAAATAGAAAATTTGGTGCAAAGGCAAAACAACTGTGTGGCACATTTGTTTATCTTAGCACCGAAGTTGTGTGGTGTAATGCCGCTTCCGATTCGGAACTCAGTGTCTGGATAATTATTAGCGAACCAAATTTAAGCAAATCGTCTGTACGCGTAATTACAGCAAATCACGTATTTGTGAAACTGTGTGAAACTATGAGGTGGATGATGAACATTAGTTCTGAAAACTCTCATCAATGAACAATGAAATAATAAATACCCCAAGTTTATAGCTACAAATGGGTAATAATTGGAAGGAGTTAAAGTTAGTGTACCTTGAATTTTGGAAAGTAAGATCTTATGACTACAATGCACTTTTTATTGGACAGTTTATTCATGTAATCCAGTATCTACGTAGATTCATGTACTAAGACATAAAGTAAATCCATTGTATTTAATTTTAACGGACTAACTGGTTTTAAAGATGAATTTCAACTACTCACACACTGTTGCACAAATATGAAGGATAATTTAATGATGCGTCATATTATGTAAATAGAACCTTAGTTGACAAAAAGTCAGCCATTCATTTGAAATCTTACTGAACTATTAGTTAGAATAATTAGTGTTTACTGCACTTTCGCAGCTGGCGTAAATATGTCGTTATTATCGTATTAATGAATGTAAAAGTTTCACTCATTAATGGCTATGATGGCTAGATGAAATGTAGTATTTTATTTGTTTCTAAGGGCAATACAACCTTATGTAATAAAATGATGAGTAAATACTCTGAGAAACTTGAAATAAGTATGTTATTTAGTCTTAAATAGTTTCTTGATTCGTTCTAAACACATATTGGTTGTCAGCAAGCTATTGCTCTTGGCACCTGTGTTCGGTAAATACTTACACTTTTTAGTAATTTTGTTTTCTATTGTTTGATTAAATTTTTCTCACCAGTTACCTAGTAACACCATTGATGGGTGCTGACCTTGGAGCTATCATTGAAACTCAATCCTTATCAGATGAGCAAATACGTTTTCTTGTGTATCAAATTTTAAGGGGTTTAAAAGTAAGTCCAATTAACTTAGAGGAGTACATTTTATCATCGTTTAATTAAATTACCTTGGTTATTTAATTTCATTGTAGTACGCAAATAGTTTCTGAAAGTTATACAAAGTTAGTGTTGTTGAGACTATCATAGTATGTCATTGATTGTCTGTTCAGTGTTAACGATGAAAAAGCTCTTCCGGATATATGACTTCCATAATACGTGTTTCGCGTAGACAACAGTTATTACTCTGTAAATTTTAAAAGTTTTTAAAACATGTCAGCTAATGTCTTATTTGGTGTAAAGTCATTTGTATAGGATTACTGTTGAGTTTTTCAAAAAAAAATTATTGCTGAACCTTATGTAAAAGTAATTGTCATAGAATAATATTCCTTATGATAACTACAAAAGGCTCCGTGAAAATCAACATTTACTGGTAAAAACTACGTTCTTCCAACTGGTAAAATTTGGCTATTGGATTTAATATACCTGATGAATGGTTAGCTTCAGTGCCATTGTGAAAAAAATCGAATGGATTTGAGTTTATTTTCTCTTACTTACTTAGTCTAAAGAAAACTCGTGAAATTTAGTGTAGAGAATGGATTAAAAAATAAACCAAATAGATTTTGAGTTTTAAAAAAAAAACATACTGCTTATGAAAATAATCAAAACCGTTTAACAGCAAATAACTGTTTCGTTATGATTTGTAACTGAGCCATGCACATCGTTGACTGCATGTATTCAGCAATGTTGTTTATAGTGATCTTGTAATGAATATGTTAATATGGAATTTGGATTCTTGGTATGGCACTTTTAGGCTTTGATTAGTTTGTTATTACATAGATTTATAAGGAGCACACTATTCAAAAACTCGGGGTTAAATGTACCTACTTTACCGTATTTTGCCTTTCTCATTATATTTATTACAACATCATTAGGATTCGTTTCCCATTCATCTTGCTGTTTTCATCTCATAGTGGTAATGTGATACATCAACTTGAACTAAGGTATATTTGTGGCGGGTCCTATGTTGATTATAACTGACTAATTAAAAAAAGGTTATATAAATATCAAATAATATTTATGTGCTGGGTTCGTAATAAAACTTGTAGACTTCTAGAGAAATTTGAATGTGAATAATATTGTTTTAACTAAAATTTTTCTCCACGTTATTCATAGTGAAAACATTTCATTCTTATATCCATCTAAACATACAAAGTATTTATTTAAAATACTAGTCACGTGTGTTATAGACGTTTTTGATTGTTTTCTAAACTCATATCTTTGGATAACGATAATTAAATTTCAATATTATTGGAAAATTCCCTTATCAAGTATGGTCTTGGTAGTTGCGTAAATTAAAGTTCTATGTTGTCTTCATTCACATGTTTTGGAACTGCAGCAGTATGCTTCCTGTTTTGTTTCTACACTCACTTGATTATTCGTTCTTCTGCTCTATGCAGTCACCCACTATAATTTAACGTAATCATGCATATTATTTTATTTCGTTTCATAGTATATGCACAGTATTGGCTTAATTCATCGAGATTTGAAACCGGCTAATATAGCAGTAAATGAAGATTGTGAATTGAAAATTCTCGACTTTGGCTTAGCACGTCAAAAACAAGAAGAAATGACTGGTTATGTTGCAACTCGTTGGTATCGGGCACCTGAAGTTATGTTGAATTGGATGCACTATAATGAATCTGGTAATAAAAAATGTATATTTATTCTTACAGTTTATCAATCTTTTTTCATTCCCTATTCACGGAAATGTCAATCTCTACATTTTCTCATAAACACCAAGTTCGTGCGAAATAAATCTATAAACATACTCTTCTTTTTATCGTATTATCATCAGTAACAACAGAAAATATGCTTCTCAGTTGTCAACAGCTTCGATAGAGAACAATCTGTAATAGTAAGAATAGTTAAGTGATTAATCAGTGTGTTTATCGAGTCGTAATTTCTTAGGATACGAAAGCTGTAATTCCAGTGTATTCTTCTGGACAGTCACCACTCAAGAAGTTGTCTTACGTATATGCTGAACATAAATATTCTTAACCATATTAAATGAACAACTTGATTATTTTCACAGTTGAAATCATGAGTCAATTGAAGCTAGACCACCATGGAAAACCTGGAAGCACTGGACGGCCGTTTCGTCCTATTATGGGACTCCAACTGTGAAAATACTAAATTCTCCACGAAACCCCCCTCTGAACTTTCAAAATTATATCTACCTTAATTTTATGGTTTCCTACTGTCTTTATAATTGCTTCTCAACGGCTGTCAAGATTCAACTTCAATCTCTGACACAGGTGTGTCCACAGTTTATCTTCAAAATGCTGAAGGACCTGCCGTTCTGTATTGTCAATTCCTTGCATTTACCACTGTCTTTGACTTGTCCTCTTCTGAATATCTTTTTCTCATATTAGCTGGATGCCATTTTATCTAACTAGACTATTAATAACATTGAATGGAATTAAATAACGATATCTATTTGATCTGTTTAAAATGATGAATCTTGCAACCTGTACTATTGTGTTGTGTGATACTTATATACATAGTGTGTTTCAAGATTTGGAACTAGGATCCTTATTGACAGAAAAGGAAAACGAAGAGAAGAGAATGAAAAACAAAAGCAGTCGGAGTAGCAACAAGAATGGAAGAACGATGAAGTTTGTAAGAGACGATTCAATGAAGATGTCGAAATGGTGTATTCAATGTATTGTTTTCATATTTTAAAAATGCTGTGTGATTTCGCATGATATAATAAATTAGTTTACACTACCCAAGACTTCGTTCATTATATTATCAGTAAACTTTGAATTATTCACATGTTATTATCGATCAGCCTACCGAACAAGTGTATTATATTGAAAAAATTAAAGGTTTCATATTTTTTTATTTCTCCATTTTTCTCAGTTGATGTTTGGTCCGTAGCATGTATTATGGCTGAATTGAGAAATCGTGCACCTTTATTTAAAGGTGGTAATCATATTCATCAAATTCAGTTGATTCTCAATTTATTAGGAAAACCTGATGAAGAGTTTATGAGAAAAATTAACAGTCCTGAAGTAAGGGAGTTGTTTTTTCTATCTATTTAATTTACGATTGCTATTCTTTTCTCTTGAGATTGTATTGAATAACGTTTGTGCGTACATATTTGCTTTGAGGAATACTGAATCAGATGTTGGCTTACATAATTCTATCCAGTAAAGACTAAATGAACCATCGATGTATGTTGTGTCTCCGAAACACGCATACAGGATCCCAGTGTGGTCATTCACTTGACCTCACCTCGCCAAAATGGACAGCCAACGAAATACACCCTCCGTTTATCTGGTGACCCCATGACTAGTTCTCGTGGACTTGCAGGTGTAGGCATAGCACTTAGTACGAGGGCAGAAAAAACACTACTAGAATGAATCCCCGTTAACAGTCGCCTGTGTGCTGTCCTGCTGAATGGCCTCGGAAGGACAGGGCCACACGTCGTTCTCTTTTCGTCGTTTTTGCCTACGCTCCCACTGACTGCAGCCATGATGAAGTGAAAGATGACTTTTACAGAAAGCTAAGCGCTCAGACAAAGTAGTCGTAGCGGGTGACTTTAATGCCCAGGTAGACAGCTTAAATCAAACTGAAAGACATTTAGGTGGGTTTTTAGTATTCCAGCCCAACAAACTGATAATGATGATCGTCTGTTGCAACTATCCTCAGATAATCGTTTATTTTTAGCAAGCACTAACTTTAAACATAAGGAGAGACATCGTCTAGCATGTCGACCACCTTCACCAAACCAACGATGGACTAAATTAGACCATATTGTCATCAGTCATCGTTGGAGAGGCTCAATAGAAGATTGTCGCTCGTATTGGAATACTTGTTTAGACTCAGATCACGCTTTAATACGAGCGCGCATTTGTCTGCGCCTCACTGGACGCAGGAAAACTACACTAAGAAGACCCATTAGGATTGAACTGGAGGACGAGAAATCCAGATATAAATTCCAGGAACAACTGAGTTCACATCTAGTTAGTTCTGTAATCGAGACTGACCCAGATGCTGCTTGGAAAGACATACGAACAGCTGTGAAAACAGCAGTCACATCTATTAGTAATTTAAACCATAGGGTTCCAAAAAATCAATGGATTTCTTCCAAGTCTATTTCACCGATGGATTCGTGTAAATTCATCCTATCAGGCTCTGAACACGACGAAGAGCGTAAACAAATCAAATGTAGATTGACTAAAAGTCTAAGGAACGATCGTGAGCAGTGGTGGGCAACGAAAGCAAAAGAAATGGAAAAGGCAGCGGCTGAGGGCAACACCAGGCAACTCTTCAGACTAATAAAAGAAACCGGAATTAATAAGTCAAGTGTAAGTGAAATGATCTCGGAGAAAGACGGAACCCTTATCTGCTCTCAGCCCAGACGTTTAGAACGATGGGCGGAACACTTTAAGGAACAGTTCAACTGGCATTCAGCTACTGCATAACTACCCACTATTCCCAGACAGCCTGAAGGGAACATTGAAGTAGGTCCCTCGACCCTACCTGAAGTTCAAAAGGCTATAACTAATCTGAAACGAGGAAGAGCAGCTGGTCCAGACGTATTGGCTCCAGAGGTCTTTATATATGGTGGTCCAGTTTTAGCGATTAGGTTGACTAATATTCTGGCCAAAATCTGAGAGACGGACGTAATCCCATCTGACTGGTCACAATCTCTGATTGTCCCAATATATAAGAAGGGGCCAAAATCATCCTGTGATAACCATAGAGGGGTTAGTCTGACTAACATAGTATCTACAATACTAGCCTCAATAATTATCGGGCGCCTAACTAAGACTCGTGAACTCCAAACATGAGAAAATCAGGCTGGCTTCAGACCTGGTCGTGGCTGTATCGACCACATATTCACCATTCGTCAAGTTTTAGAGCACAGACATGCTTATCGGCGTCCGACAATGATAGTTTTTCTTGACTTAAAAGCAGCATTTGATTCTGTAGACCGAGAGGTTCTGTGGCAGTGTCTGTCATTGAAAGGTGTACCTCAGAAGTACATAAACCTTGTGAAGGCTCTTTACTCGAACACTACCAGTCGAGTGAGAGCTTATGGCGAACTGTCATATGATTTTACAACGTCAAGTGGTGTCCGTCAAGGCTGTTCACTATCCCCATTTTTGTTTAACTTCATTATAGACCTGTTGCTGGAAATAACACTCTCGTCGACTGAGTTTTCAGGAATTGATCTTCTACCAGGAGGTTCACTTATCGACTTAGAATACGCAGATGACATAGTCCTGTTTGGTGAAGACACTAACAAAATGCAGAGTCTTCTGTTAGAACTGAGTAATAATGCCAGGATGTTTGGAATGCCTTTCTCCCCCTCTAAAAGTAAATTGTTACTCCAGGACTGGCCTGCGTCAACACCTGAACTAAGGATAGGGAGTGAAGTAGTCGAACGCATGGACAACTTCACTTATCTTGGAAGTCTGATCAGCCCTAACGGGTTGGTGTCTGACGAAATCTCAGCACGGATTCAGAAAGCTCGTTTGGCTTTTGCCAACTCACGTCACGTATGGCGAAGATGAGATATCCGTCTATCAATTAAGGGACGAGTATACTGCGCAGTAGTTCGCTCGGTTCTACTTTACGGCTGCGAAACATGGCCATTAAGAGTAGAAGATACTCGTAAGTTACTAGTATTTAACCACAGATGCCTTAGAAATATTGCTCGCATCTGCTGGGATAACCGGGTAAGTAATAGTGAGGTTAGACGCAGGGCATTAGGGAATGATGGTAAATCAGTTGATGAGGTGATGAATCTTCATCGACTGAGATGGTTGGGCCACGTGTTACGTATGACTGAACACCGATTACCACGACGCGCAATGCTGACTAGTGTAGGGGATGGTTGAAAGAGAGTTAGGGGTGGCCAAACCGAAACATGGCATCAGTGCTTGAAGTCACTAACTTGTAGTCTGAGCCATGTTGGTAGATGCAGACTACCTGGTTGGGGTCCGCGTGACTATCGTAACCAATGGTTGGAGACTCTGGGTGACATGGCTCAGAATCGATCACAATGGCGTAGGTGTATACACTCTTTATCTTCCCTTAAACCTTGAGATTAAAATTGCTTCATAACTTTTTTCCTTCCTATACTATATCCTTCTATACAACCTTTCTTTATATACTACTACCACTAAATTAATTACTTCTATGAATCCGGTGTTCATCTTGTGGTACTAACTAGGTATGGCAACTTGGACCGATACATAAATGTGCCTGGTCGTACGTTGTAGCTGATTGACTGACTGAAATGTAGGATGATAATTTGAGGTATCATATAACATTTAGATTCTATTTCTAGTATTTATTAAAGCTTCGATATTAATTTAACTTGAATTGCAATAGTTTTCTTACATCTTATTTGATAAAATTCTTCAAATATGAGGGAAAATATGTATTTTGTCTTATCTGGCCTCTTAGCGTTAAATGTAGATGCTATGTTATCCAAATATATATTTGTATTTTTGCATGTTTTTATAACTTCTATGCTTGTATGTATGTAATGATTTTGTAGTTGTTCAATTTGATAGTACTTTCATCATGAATCGACGTCAATATAGCAACTATTTCCAATTCTTGGCAAAGCTTACCTTCAAATTGTCATTTTTCTTGTTACTATTCCGTACTATGTTAATAGTACGAAACGGCTGTCCAGTGCTTCCAGGTTTCCTATGGTAGTCTAGCTTCAATTGATTCATGATCTCAACTATTAAAATTACAATAATATCCACAAAACCCCTTCTGATAATGATTTATCTGTCCTTTACATATACCTTTTTGAGCATTGGTGTTTGTCTGAAACAAACTTACACCCCTTTTTTTATATAAAGCCAACACTTTTCTTTACGAATAAAAGTAATTTGGTTTGAATCCAGCCGTTTTCACCAATTTTCTTCCTTTAAAAATAATTTTCAAGAACGGCAAAAACCCGATGTTAGATGTAAGTTTCCTGTAATCTCTGTTTAGTAAATTAATCAACAATGTAAATCAATCGTTTTTGGTGAATTAATTAATAATATAGTGATCTACCAAGCAAATTAGAAAATATTGACAGTTACCACTTACTAAGTATCTTTTTTTAACAAAGCCCACTATTCAAATAAATTATCAGCTATTCTCATGGGTTTATTGCTTGTTACTGATCACCATACTAGTAAATTCGCCATAAACTAATATCTTGTTTCAAACTATATTATTATTCATATATGAAGCTTCCGTTTATTTCATTGCATGTAAAAGTCAAATTCCGTTTGTTCAATGTAATTTGTGGTATACATGTCATACCCTACATTCCATTGTTTACCGACTTCTAGTCACCAATCAGTCAACTCTCTCATTAGTAGTATTATTTCAACAAAATACATTTGTTATTAAAAATATCGTTTTTTAAATCCAATGTTCCAAGCTACCTCATGAATCCAAACATGATTTCTTATATCGACATGAAGAGTAGGGATACCACTCTGTTGTTCAATCTGCAGTAAACAAAGTGGCTCAGTGTATAAGGCACTTAAGTTTCAACTGTTGAACACCATGTACAAATCCAACCTTACCCTTTGTGGTTTGCGTATTTGGTCATTATCACTACCTGTTGCACGACTACATAACTTGAAACCTAGTACATAAATTAATACTTTTTTAAAACTTTAGCTTCATACTGAATTTTACAGTTTACTATGTTGAGGTCACGAATCGATTAAAGCCAGACCACCATGGAAAACCTGGAAGCACTGGACGGCCGTTTCGTCCTATTGTGGGACTCCTCAGCAGTGCGCATCCACGATCCCGCCTCGCGAGATCCGAATCCAGGACCTATCAGTCTCTCGCGCGAGCGCTTAACTACTATGTCTTGCGTGCACATTAATAATTAACTGGCTTTCAAGCTTTTCAAGGAATGCAAAATGTTATATTTCTCGATTATATATACTACAATTCTAGGGATTAGTTGCGACACATGAGCTCAGACTATCTTTCATATATCAGGTTATTAGTTTAAATAGTTTTGTTTGTTTTATCAGGATAATCAGTTAATATTATTGATCATTGTATAATTCATCCTTATATAAACAACTCTGAACTTATGTAACAAGTTAAATTATTGTAGTTCTCTGAACATACTACGTGTGTAGAACAGTAATAACCTCGTAAAACAAGTTTTAGAGTAAATGCAACTTATTTTAAAGTATATATCTTGTGTCATGTATGATTAAGTCAAAAACAGTTTACATTATTACTGCGCTTGTTCATATTTTATGCTCTTAGTGTTTTTTTTTCTAGATGAGTTCTTCACCAATACTTTCATACATACATTTTCAATTTACTCTCATTTTATGGTAAATATTTTTCTGATCGTGGTTCCTTTATTCTTTATTGGCTTACATAACTAACTGTACAGATCAAACTATCTTGTAAGCTGAGGTTATTAGAGAACACTAAATTTATCCTATGAATAATTATATTTGACTGCATTGTTTTATATAGTAAAACAAATATGAAAATTTGTTTAGTTGTGAATTTTCACTTATACATTTAACACCTACATAAATCGATTGTTTCGCATTACGATGTAACCATGCACAGTCCATAAAATAATCTTTTAAGTGAAAAAAATTTATAATCAGTACTAAATGTTTGTAATAGATTATCAAGTATCAATAAATTTTCAGTTAATATATGTCTAATTTGTAATTATATTTTCATTAGAACTTAATTTTATTGTTTTGCATTGGATTATTTAAAGGTGTTTATTATTATTATTATATTGTAAATTTCATAGTTTATATACATATTAGAATGATTGTCATATTTAATACATATTTTTCATGTTGTTTATAGATGAATCATTGTTTATATAGTTTATATTCCTGGCACTTGTTTTGTAGCAACAGTAATTTACATTCAACATTCATTTGTTGCTATTATCTTTTACTTTTAAAGAATTGTCAATGACATTACGACATCACAGTATGTAATTGTGATGTTAGCTTATTAAATAACCGTTCGTCTAAAGATGATATTTACTACTTTGTAATGATATAAAGCTTATCATTATATGGTTTACATTCTGTAAATGACTTCTGAAGATATTATCATTTACATCTAGATGTTTTTCATATATTCTCAAGTAGTTGGTGTTATCATTTAAGCTAATAATATGAAATTAACAGTGGTCATCTTGAATTAATTTACTGACTGATCAGTAGCATATTTTCCACAAAACTCAAAAACAAATAGAAAGTGTATGTTTAAAAAGAATATCAAAATAATATCCAACAGTTATTTGCGTTAGTCATGTTTCATACTGCATAACAGACTACCCTTCATCTGTTGGTTCTATTTTAATTCTAGTTACATCTTGTATTTTAACGCTAAAGCACCGGATATTGCAGTGCAATAATTTTTCTTTGGTCACTTTTGTATCATTACAACATTAGCGCTTACAAATTTCTGCCTTCATCATTTGCTAACTTATACAATTTGATACACCCATAATTAATATAATGATAATCAGTTACAACATTTATTCATTATTATGCTGATTGAATTATTGATCACCTTCCATTTCACTATCAAACGAAATTTTTTTGTTTTTAACAAAATATTTAATTCACCATACTCAGTTATCTTACTTTACTACATGGAATTTTAGTGAGGTCTCACCTCAATGGTTAAAGTTTTCACTTTTTAACTATCTCGTTTCACCTCTTAATCTGATTGCAGTTTGAAAAGATAGCAACTGTTATCACCATTGTTCTACACATCACATACGTGACGTAATATATAGAGTAAAATTTTTAAATTGAACTCCCTTTTGTGATCCTTATTACAGATAATCATAGTATTAATAATGTCACCATCTATTTTTAAAAATCCGAAAAATTTCAATTACTTTTGTAATAATTCTAAATAAAATTTATTGAGTTATTTTTGTAAGAAAATTGCATCATCTCAAGTTATTTGTTTTTTATTGTTAAAGTTCTCTTTTTAACCTTGGAACTAATTCTTATGTAAAGGTTTTTCCTGTACTGTACGTATGCATCCATCTATTTGTACATTAATGTGTTCATGTATACATGTTTCCATCCTGTTGTAATCAGTCATTATAATCAAACGATTAGGTTATTTCATATGACAGTCAATAAGTTTCTTAGAGGTTTTTAAATAATTATCTTAGTCAGTATTAAATAAATTATATATTTGTAATATCCCAATGAGTAGAAAAATTAGATTTTCTGACGTTTCATGACTCAGTGTTTTATTTATTCTCTGAAGAAGTGGCTTACACTGAGTCACGAAACGTCAGAAAATCTAATTTTTCTACTCATTGGGATATTACAAATATATAATTTATTTAAAACAATCTACCCAATGCTCAATTTATTCAAAATTATCTTAGTCAGTATGTTAGGAGACTTCAGTTTGTAGCTAGTTTTCATTGCGGACAAATCTGAGCTTGGAAACCATTCACAACTACGTAGCATTAGACAATTGTTTCGTCCTATTATGGGACTCCTCATTCATAATACCATCAGGATCTTGTGTTCTTCCTCAGACGGGGTCAATCAGTTATGAAAGTTAACTGTTTACTGTTTTGGTATATGAATATTTACAAAAGAACATTAGTTTTATACATAATATATACTTCCTATCATAGACATTTTCTGTTTCTAATCATTTTTATTTTATAAAACACTGAAGTATTTTCCTTTCGCTACCATTCTTTATTCAATATCTGCTTTTAATTTGCTTATATTACTTATTATTTATTTGAACACATGAACATTGGTCTAAGGAGGCACCAAATATATATGCGCCACACTACGTCATTCGATTTGTGTGAGGGCTGAGATATTACCCAGGTGCCCAGACCGAAGCAGATGGTTACCCTAAAGCGCCACTTCCTGATGCTTTGACCTATAAGACTTATCCACTATGTTATCCACTTTTGCTTATTTGTGTTATTAGTATCCACTAAGTCCACCAATCTGTGTATTAGTAACCATGTTATCAGGTAAGTCCTAGTTACGCTTTTTATATCGAAATCCTTCTGATTAGTCAGCGACATCAAAATGTCTGAAAAACTGTGTTATCTATTGTGATGTTGAGTTGTTCAGCATCTAACGGGATTCGAGATTATCTTAGCTCAGCTCGTCTCAATCACTTAGTATTCTATTTCCCTTGAGGTCAAGTAATAAACCACTGATACTTTCTGTCTATTTTTAGGACCATTATTTCTATATTATTCAAACACATAAATGTTGGTATAAGAAGGCCCCAAATATGTGTGCACCACACTTCATCATTCGCTTAGTGTGAACGCTGTGATATTACCGGGGTGCCCAGACCAAAGCAAGTGGTTTTCTTACGGGGTCACTTCTCGATGCTTTAACCTAGGGGTCTTATCCACAAGGCAGTGACGTGACGTTGGGTTATGCAATCCCATGATAGTCGGTAACCAACAATAGGTTCATACGCTATTTGTCTCCTCGGGATCCTGGAGCTCATGTTCACTACTGGTTTGAAATCAGGGTTTTCCAACTCCCCTAGATGGATCATTGGCATCTACCGACCCGGTTAAAACGCTGGACATTGGCGTTTCGTCCTCTCAACTCCGTAAACAACATTCCCGCCACGAGAAGGCAATGAGTAAAACTTTCATGACAGTGTCTGTATATGCGTAGTCACGTGAGAGAATTCCGAGAGAGAGAGCTGACTCTACCTACCCTAAGCCGTAGCAGGGCATTTGGGGGCTTACTCCTATTGCATGCATTATAAATGATATCTTAATTAAATCATCAAGTTCAAATTTTATAAATATTTGGTCTACCAGTGATTCATGTTACATATTAAAATCTTATTTATCGTTTTATACTTCATCTGAAATTAGGCATGACAGTATGATCAGTAAATTAGAAAATGCTATTGATGGTTCAAAATTGGTATTATTGCAGTTTCCGTTGGGTAGTATCTTCGTTGTGCTTACCATCATTAATATTACTTCGGATTCAGTTTGATAACAAAGAGTAGTATGCAGTCTCCACCTGACTGCATTTCATTGAAAATTCTTTGCTTTGTTTTAATCATTTTTAGCATCCTGTCTCATACAAATTCATTTATATTTCATTTTTTTTATTTTTAAAGGCATGTGGATTTATTCGCGATATCAGTAAATGTGAACCACAAAATCTGTACACATATTTTTCTTCTTTTTCAAGTGATGGTAAGTCAATAAGATGTAATTCGTATGTTTTGTAAGTTCATGTTTACGTGTAATAAATTCTTTTCATTCAACTTTTGAATAGTATCTGGGTTTTTTTTTACAAAGATCTAGATATCTTGGTTTTGATTCTATTTGAGCTTGTTGCTTTGTACATGTTGTTAACAAGTCTAAAATTGTAATTGTATGACTGTCCCACTGCTCCCTAATTTTTTATGATACTCTGATGAATGTCTGCCTATGATAGAGTGACCTTGAAGCAAGCGTTTTATAAAATTGTTGGTTAGAGTTTACTTATTTAATTTTTATTCTTTACTGCATCCAGTGATGTGTTTTACGATTCATGCAAATAATACCACTCATCGATAAATTAATGTGTTTAACTGTTCCCTTGTTGATATTGTTCACTATTGTGTATTAAGAAAACTCGTTCTTTATATTATTGTGTAATAGTAATGTTAACAATGCCGAACATGGACTCTGTATTAAGAAATCTCGTTCTTTATATTATTGTGTAATAGTAATGTTAATAATGCCGAACATGGACTCTCATGGATATTTTTACTATATATAATAATGATAAAATATATTGCCAACTCTATTAACCACCTCGAAGGTCTATTGGGGGAAAATTTTCTTATAAAATTTAGTTGATATCGAGTTTTTGTTTTAATATTGTTCATGAATTTCCCTGATCAGATTTGTATGATAATGGATTTTCTAAGGAAGTTATTGTCGTGAATGACAAAAGCTTTATGTCCTTCCAAATGTGTTTTAGTTTTTCTAGTTTCAGTGATTGAATAGATGTTGGGTAACTAAACATATTCTCGGTCATAGAAGAATATGAATAATTCTATTTAATTATGTACGAATACAGTGTTAATGAGTTATTTTGTTGTCAATGACTTCAGCATTAAATGTAATAATCGTTTCAATTGATGATTAAACAGATCAACGGTTACATTAATACGTGATTCCTCACTTCCTTTGTTATTTTAGTCTTAAATGTTTAAAATGTCAGAGTATGTACTTTGGTGGAGATAATGTGAAAAGAGTTTATTTAGCAATTATTGTAAGTTATATAGTTATGTTATCTCAATAGCTCGGCAATTCTTTTCAAACGTATAGTGACTTTCATTTCTGTTATGTCTCGTAAGTTGAACGTTTTATTCGGATCCTAGCTATTCGGATAACCCCAGGCTAGCACTACTCAGCGACTTGGAAGACCAGAGAGAAGACACGAGTATCAGAGAAGCACTTTACTACAAGGTTCAATTATGTACAGAAAAACAGGGGTTTTATAGTAGCTAAAAGACCTTGAAATCCCATAGTAACAGTATGTTAACAGCCAATCAGGACCTTGTTATTTTAGTAGCATTTTAGTAGCATAGCTTCTAACTAATTGCTGATTGGTTGGTCTCTTTATGAGCCTATCTGAAGGCTCTGATAGAGTTTATTGTAAGCCGATCTAACACCTCCCTTTTTTTGAAGATTCGAAAATTAGATTCTGATTTTTGAAAAAATTATCTGTAAGTTGAAATTCTCCAACATTTCCTCCCCCACGAAATAATGTTGGATCTTCATATCTCCAAAATACAATAAGTATGACATATTTCTCGTATTGAACGCAGAATCTACTAGAAATGAATAAATGATGATGAACGATATTTGATTTTAGGTTATCGGAATTCAGCTTTTCTAAAATATCTCCATCAAATTCATTAAAATTTTCACTAGGGGATATTAGATAACTAGGAGAATCGGCATCTAATAAATTCGCATTAGATTTTTGATCACCATCTGATTCGACCGACTTAGTTTTCTCATCTTTATACGAAATTTCATCAGAATTATGGGCATCATTACGCGAACCCATATTATAGGCTTCTGTCTCCCCATGATTTCGAATCACATTTGGCGCAATTTGGTTAACTGTACTGTTCCAGTTATTTTCTGGACATGCGTTCTTCCAGTTTTCTTGGCCAACATCACGCAAACTGTAGTTCTGTTCTGACTTAAGTTTGTCTTCAGATATGGGCGGACTTAATGGTGTTTCATTTGATTCTGGACTCCTGGGGTTGTCTGCGGAACCTTCTTTTTCTTGCTCATCTGATACTGTCACAGTTTCATGTGCATTAGGCAAGATATTGTCTTGCTCTGAACCGGCCAACTTACCAATTTTGCATTTTCCGTCAGATATAAAGGGAATTGAACCCTCAACTTGGCGTTCTTCTGAGACGGCCATTTCCGCACCATTATCTGCATTATAAATAAATTCTTTATTTCCTGAGACGTTTTGTTTAGTGAAAAATTTGTCCAAAAATGTTTCAAATAGTTTCTGCTGGAAGCTTAACATCTGCTGATGCTGGTGCTCTAATATTATCTGCAACTGTTCCAGAGAAATCGTCATTTTTTTACTGCTAATAATAACTCCAAAACCCGCCGGCAATTATTACAGCTTATTTAATTCCAAAATACGTTACCGACTGCTGTATTTTTTTCCAGAATCCCCGTCGCCAATTGTTATGACTCGTAAGTTGAACGTTTTATTCGGATCCTAGCTATTCGGATAACCCCAGGCTAGCACTACTCAGCGACTTGGAAGACCAGAGAGAAGACACGAGTATCAGAGAAGCACTTTACTACAAGGTTCAATTATGTACAGAAAAACAGGGGTTTTATAGTAGCTAAAAGACCTTGAAATCCCATAGTAACAGTATGTTAACAGCCAATCAGGACCTTGTTATTTTAGTAGCATAGCTTCTAACTAATTGCTGATTGGTTGGTCTCTTTATGAGCCTATCTGGAGGCTCTGATAGAGTTTATTGTAAGCCGATCTAACAATTTCAATTTGTATAATGTTGGTGTTATGGTCTCTGCTCCGGATCGTTTGGTTATGAGGTTTTCACTGTCCTTTTGAACAATATTATTAGCACATATTTAAAAGAGACATCTCCATGATCTCAAAATTGTATTGCTGGTTTTTAATATTTGTCCCATGATCATAAGCAGCCAGGGCTATTAACCTTTTTGCTATTCATTTATGAAATAGGTAAACCTTATAAAACATCTTACTCCCCTTTTATTAATCAGTGTTTTTTTAAATTGACTGGACGTGTTTAAATATGATTTTCATTTGAAACTTCAGAAGAAATTGTATACAGTTTCGTTTTATATCATTCTTGTTATTATTTATCAACTGAACTATAAATAGACGAACTGTTGGAGTTGTTTGGTCTTTGAATGATAGTCATTTGTAGTTTTGCATATTTCTGCTTATCTGTTCTTGCGAATTCTTTCATTGATTGGTTTATAACCATTAAATGCTTTAATATAACATCCATATAATGTTCCATACTTAAAGTAAATACATTTTGATATTGTGAAAAAATGGCAATGCAAAGGTTGTTATGGTACATCTTTTCCTTTGCGTTTTCTTATTTTTAAAGCTGTTGATTTATTACAAAAGATGTTGCACCTTGATCCAGATCGACGTTTAACAGCTGCTCAAGCACTAGCCCATCGTTATTTCGCAACGTATCATGATGAATCAGATGAACCAATTGCAGAGAAATTCGATGATCCATTTCAAGACGATAGTAATGCATCTTTAGATCAGTTAAAAGGTATTTAATATCTCTGTATTTTTTCCTATTAATTATTTTTTCAATTCTTCCATATATATATATATATATATATATATATATATATATATATATATATATAAACAAAACGCGCTTTATTTGTTAGGAGTATTCTTGGAAGTGTGTTTTACGAAAATTTATTCTTCAAGTAAAATTATACCTTCAAACTGGTTTGTTGTTGCTATATGTGGTGATTTGACTTTGTATACATTCGCTTACTATTCACGTCTCACGCTCCTATGTTCATATCAATATTTCTGCGAAGTTTTGAGTTCCATTTTGTAATTAACGTTATATTTGACTGGAGACTATAATTGTATTGTCAGTATAATTTTTAGATGAAAGTGAATTGTAGCATAGAAGCAAAAAATAAATATTACATTCGATGTATAAATCAGTACATTATTCGAAATTCTGAAGTCGGTTTTCGCATCTTATTCACAGTATCAGTGTCTCTTTTATCCTTAACTAATTAAACTGGTTTACATAATATAACTTTTGCAAACCATTGAAATATAACATTAAATTACATTGATAGCTTTCTAGGTCTAGTCTCCCGATCTGCACACCGATTATGCATTTAAATCTAAATGACTAACGGCCAGAAGAAATATAATGTTATATTCACCTAATTCCCACTTATTTCATCTAGGTTAAATAGTTGTTAGTTTGAATGTTAACTATCAATGTTGACTACAGTATTACACAAAATACATGTACTTCTATTCTTCTACTTTATAACAGAAGCTGTGTGGAATACGTTAGAGAATTTTGTACCGAATCTAAATTCTCTACATTTATGCGCTTCTGAAGAGACAAATGCAGCTTGAATGTATATGTATGTATTTTATTTCTATATACACGGAGGAATATTGTTTCTTTAGCCTCATTTATGCATCGGTGTGTGTATGCAACTGATAATGTTTGGAATTATCACAATTAATAAATTAGAGTTAAACCCAATTGCCATTTACTTTCTGATCTGCTTGACATGTTTGCTTGTTCCGCATATTCCTAAAATCCTTAAACATGCTTTATTCTTTCTTTTTACGAAAAACTAATATTAAATATTCTTTGTATAAACATTTTATTTACATAAATATTTCTTCATACAAACTTTTCTATATATGTAAACTTTTTCTTCGCTTTTATCCTGTGGCTTGTTTTTTATACACAAAGATCTCGCATTTTGTGACTATTATTGAAAACATTAAATAAAGTGTACATTAGTATTGGAATAAATTGTTTCATAAAAAATCTACATGCAGCTCAATAGTTGACCACAATTCAATTTAAGACTGGATATGTATATGCAAATGGAAATTTTTTTTAGAAAAACCTTGACAGAGAAAAATGTTTTTGAAGCCTTTCTTGTACTTCTATCATCTTTATTAAAAAAGTTTTTTAACACAAAATGAAGGGTGATGCTAATCTATGTTTTCATTTTCTTTTGATATTTTTGTGATTGGTTCTATTCTCACTTTTTTGAGATAAATTATTCACCATCAGCTTTTTCACTGTAAAATAATTTATTCATTTGATTCCCAATTTATAAATAAGCTCAGTGTATGGTATTAGTTAATTTAGTCAGTCCTAAGGAATGTAATAACCCGATAGAAATGTGCATCGTCTTAGATTGTTCGTAATATTAGTACAGGTAGACAAAGTCATTATGACGAATACCAAGGTAGTATTAGTTATAATATAGGTTAACATCAAAACTATAGTTCTAGAGAGAAGAATGAATCTGCGGAATAACAAAAATAAAGTAATTTCTTACTTCTTAGTCTAAAAGTAAGTCAAGAGTCTGTGACAATGTGATCGAAAGTTACACCCCAACTGTCGATCATAAGAATCTCGCGGATCACAACCAAATGACCTGGACCAACCAACGTGACTCAAATCGACAATAAATTCTCTCATGGACTGATGCCATGTGCTTGTTCTCATGCTTCTAACTTTCTTACAACCTACTCCCTCTCTCAACAGTCCTCAAGAGAGAGGGGTCAAACATAAATGACACGTCCCAGCCACCTTAGTGGATGAATACTTACATTTTGGCCTACCCATTGGCTCAGTAATTTACGTCCAACTTCAACATTACACATCTAGTGGTCCTACCATATGCGAGCAACAATTTGAACAAGCATGTAATCATAACTTGTAGCCTGAAAATGTCACCTACTTTGAAAGGACAATTTTCATAGCCATAAAAATAAACAGAATGGATTGTCGGGGAATGAATTCATCATTTGGTTGACATATCCAAAAAATCCCGAGTACAAACGACCTGTAAATCAGTCACGGATAGTTATTTAACGCCGTATGTGGTAGTAATTTCATGTCTTCATCCCAAAGTTAACTTTTATTCCTGAAATAGGCCGTGCTATTTTGCGACGGGTCTTGTTGCTCTCCAAGCGTTGATGGATAAAAGCACCAGCCTTTAAAGTAAAAGCTGTGAATTAATGATGAAGTTCGTCGGCGTACAGGAAAGTGAATAGTCTGAAAACGGGAAATAGATTTATGGACGTTGAGTCCATAATGATTCTTTACGGTGATATCGAGTTAAATGCTTAGATGTATGTGGTGCCTAGTTTCCATTGAGGTATTATAGTCGCTTGGATTCTGTTACGACGACTGGCCCCTTCACTTTTATATTCATAGATTTCCGACGTGACGTATTCAGTACAAAACTGAACTGAAATCGTCACTAGGCGTATGTTCTCACAATAGAAACATTTCGTATTTGTATAAGCTGGGGTAGTGTAACCTTGTTGACCAGCATGACACTATAGGGCTAGTGAAATGTCATCGGGTCCTAACCAAATCAACCGGCAGTCGGGTCGCTCAATTTCAAATATTTTGCCTATCCTTCATAAGGACAAGCATTGTGTCATTTGCATGCGATGGACCGTCCCATGCGGCAGTGGTCGCACACTG